ATGATGCGCATGCAGTGAAACGTCACGCCGCGCTCTTATTCACAAACACTACACAAACGCAACGTGTGAATGTGTTGAACGCGAGCTACATGGTAAGCAGAGTGGGGGTGTTAGGTTTTATTTTCGTTACGGAATTACTTGATTTGGTCGCCACGCTCAAAGACCGCGATCAGATCTAGTCAATAGATTAAAAAAGATTACAGCAAAACTATTGAGATCTGATTTCTAAATCTCATTTAAATATTTTAATACAGACCGAGAAAAGAGGGCGAGCTGTTTTGTTTGAGTTTTGAGATTAAATTACTGATAAAAAAAGCATGAAACTGTATCACTAATCGCTTCTGACTTGTGAGACTGTCTAAAGTCTCCGTTAAGCGGTCCTAGTTATTTCCAAGGCGGATGTAGAGTTATATTTTTATTGCGGTTGTTACTTGAAACTTGCTTTAATGTTGACGATGAAGGATTTAAAAAACTTTATCTTGACTGATTTAAGCGCAGACACATTGTTTCTTAGAAGGAACTTCCGAAGATGACCCCAGCTCTTCCAATTATCATCGTGTTTCGAAAATACTTTAGAAGACAGTGTTTGCTTCTATCATTCAACTTATTATTTTAAAAGAATGTACCAAGTTATACAACATGCTTATAGCCAGCTCGGAGTTCCTGTGTAAGTGTCCTCATTTTTTTAATTTCCATGCTAATAAAGTGTAAAATAGAGCAGGCATAGCACCGCCCTGCCTATTTCTGCCGTGAAGCAGTAATGCGTTTCGGTTTGAAGGGTGGGGCAGCCGTTGTAACATACTGAGATCTTAGAACTTATATCTCAAGGCGGGTGGCGCGTTTACTTCGTAGATGTCCATGGGCTCCAGTAACCACCTAACATCAGGTGGGCTGTGAGTTCGTCTACCCATCTAAGCCATAAAAAAAAAAAATATACTGACTTAATGACTTCAAGAAACGTATGAGCTTACTTACAGAAGTACTTAAAAACTGTATTATCACTCATATAATCAGTTAAAAAGGGGGATGGAAGTCGTTTTAATCAAAATTAAACTGTATGAGGCTTCAACACACTTGATCAAAGCTTAGGTATAGATTGTTTGAAAAAACTGGATCCCTTCATTAGCACGTCAAAGAGAGAGAGTAGCTTTGACCAAAGTTTCCTTGTTATTTGTTACAATGCTTTCTAGTTATTCGTATTTTATCTCGTTTCTTTTCCACTTTAATTATTGACATAAGTTGTATTGGGTGTGTTCAATTTCAATTTGATCTCCCAGTACTGATTGTTGCTAAATGGTTCAGGAATTTTGTTTTTACATTTTGCGTCAAATAAAGGTTGGTCAAGTGATCACAGGTTTTCTTTTTTTTTTACAATTTTTATTTAATATACAACTAAACCTAGCTTACGTCTACCTCAGAACTAGCTTACAAACTAAGTAATGACAGCGCGCCGACACACTTTTTTTTTTTTCGGTGTGATATCCTCATGTCCTATCGCCATTGATATAATGACGCGAGTACTTTGGCTTTTAGGTCCCAGAGCATGGATCCGGCCAGGACGCAAGCCGCCTCGTGGGAAATCGTGCGATACCCGCGGATGACTCTGACGGCCATCGCCCTCTGCGGTTTGCGCAGAATGGCGAGAGTGCTCTCCGTCATGTCCATAGCCCACACAGGGGCCCCATACAGGGCCATGGACCGCACAATCCCCACGTACAACCGCCTACAGGCGGCGCTCGGGCCCCCCAAGTTGGGAAGTAACGTTGAAAGCGCGCCCGCTGCACCCATCAGCTTGGGCGCCAGCCGCCGGAAGTGACAAGCGTGTCGTCCGTATAACATGTCAAGTCGCGCCGCCACACCTAAATCTACCTAGCTAACCTAATCTACCCACAGAGGAGAGAGCTTAGCTGCAACTCTTCGCTGGAGGCATCTCCCCTTCTCTACAATTTTTGAAATAGAATTGTTACAATATTGTTGGGGAGAGGACTGCAGCGGCTGTGAAATCTATCCCTGCCGTGAAGACGGTGAGAATGGGATCTATTGCTCCTTTTAAAATCGGTGCAGCCACAGTTCCCAAGTCGTCGTGGCCTAAGGGATAAGACGTCCGGTGCGTTCGTGTTGAGCGTTGCACCGGTGATCGAATCCCAGGCGGGTACCATTTTTTCTAATGAAATACGTACTCAACAAATGTTCACGATTGACTTCCACGGTGAAGGATTAACATCGTGTAATAAAAATCAAACCCGCAAAATTATAATTTGCGTAATCACTGGTGGTAGGATCTCTTGTGAGTCCACGCGGGTAGATACCACCACCCTGCCTATTTCTGCCGTGAAGCAGTGATGCGTTTCGGTTTGAAGGGTGGGGCAACCGTTGTAACTATACTTGAGACCTTAGAACTTATATCTCAAGATGGGTGGCATTTACGTTGTAGATATGTATGGGCTCCACTTAGCACCAGGTGGACTGTGAGCTCATCCATCTACATATTCAATAAAATAAAATAAACTAATATATCATAATAAATTATAACTAATATATTATAATATATACACATTATTTATAAAATTTACACTTGGAATGATCAAAACAATGTTGAATGACAAAAGAATTACTATTTTAATTCGCTGGGAAACTGCACCTGTGCCTTGTTGTTGCATTCATGCGTGGAAATTATAGATAAAGAAACAGGTGGCAGGCAGATGGCCAAACAAAATAAATATTCAAAATAGTATTGATGTGGAACAAAAACAATGTTACATTTGGATTTAGGATTTTTTTTTTTTTTTTTTTATTGCTTAGATGGATGGACGAGCTCACAGCCCACCTGGTGTTAAGTGGTTACTGGAGCCCATAGACATCTACAACGTAAATGCGCCACCCACCTCGAGATATAAGTTCTAAGATCTCAGTATAGTTACAACGGCTACCCCACCCTTCGAACCGAAACGCATTACTGCTTCACGGCGGAAATAGGCGGGGTGGTGGTACCTACCCGTGCGGACTCCCAAGAGGTCCTACCACCAGTAAAGAATTTGTGCAGTAAACAAGTGCAGAATAAGGTAAAATGAAATATAATTGAATTTAAAAGATCGGGTGAGTGGCACCAATAACCTTTAAGCCAACTTGCTAATAGCCAATCGGGATTATGAACAGTATGCCAACCCCTGAGGGTTAGTGAGGTACTGGGAACAGACGCCAATGGCCAGACTCATTGACGCTTATGTTATACGAATTTTATTAAGATAAATAAAAGCGAGCACACTGCTATCACAGATCGACTGACACCCTCCCGTAATTAACCAGGTTAAGAAAAGAAGAGTCACTCACTTACTTGTTGCTATCCCGAATTATTCTATCCAAAACGTTGACAACGCCTTGGTCACAGAAATTCGGAATGAAGCGCACTCGCGACGAGGATAAGCAAATTGGTCAGCACGGTCACAATTAGCACGTCACTCGCTCGCCCTGGCGCCCCATTTCTGCCTGTATTAGCTCGGAAACGGCAGCTGATAGCGTTGATTCGCAAAGAACACTATCGCCACATGAACGTCAGACCAGCGATTGGCAATCTGGTTCGGCAGGCTATTCAGCGTTTGTGTAAACGATGTCACATGTGTCCCCGGAGAACCCTCAGTGCGTCGTGTTCCTCAGTGCTAAAGATCATGACCTTCGCGGAACACATACGTAAAAGTTTAGAACAGGATTCAAATCAGCGTAGATTGGGAAACGCACTCTCCCTTCATGCTCTACCCATGGAGTCTGGATTTAATTTCCGGGTGGTAAATTTAAGGCAGTGTCTTTGTAAAAAATATTTGGTTACCGCCTTGCCAATTTTAAAAATATGCATCTTATTAAAATATCTGTTGAAAGCTATTCAAGAAAAGGGCTCGTCATATTTACTCTTCGAACATAATCTATACTAATATATATATATATATATATTTTTTTTTTTTATTGCCCTTGTAGGCAGACGAGCATACGGCCCACCTGATGGTGAGCAATTCCAGGGGCAGAGCCAAGCCGCTACCTAAAAAATATATCTATATCTATAGTGGTTTTTACGGATGTTCCGTTATAACTATTGGACCATGCGTCCGATTGACTTGAAACTTAGTATCCATGTAGAAAACATATGTACTTAATGGATAGGCTAATATTTATATGAGTGTTGGACTCCTTACACCAGTTGCGGGGGCGTTAATGATGAGAATCTTTGTGGGGGTGAGAAATAATAATGTTAATTTTATATGCCCAGCGAAGCGGGCGGCTACAGCTAGTTATATTATATACTCGTAATATAATATAGTTATAATAATAAGATCTATTTGTTATCCCGTAGTGGTTTTAATACGTCGTGAAATGTTGGATGATTTTGGACCTTCCTGGTTGTAGTATTTCTTGAACTGCCAATAAAGCACGTGAGAATCCTGCGATTTTATTAGCTTTTCTATATAAACTATGGAAATATATTCGTGAATATCTTCCGCTTAAAGAGATACGATGGTTTATTTATACCCAAAGAGATTCTGTAAAATATACCGGTTTACTCGTTCACTAACCTCAAACAAGTTTCACAGTACGTGTGTTTCCGCAATACGGCAGTATCTACGATAAATCCTGTCAGAGATCATGCGTTCAATATCGGTTCGGTTCAAAATATAAGACAATAACGTCATACCGCCTTTAAAATTATATATCTTTAGAGTTTCTTTCCTGGAAATTTTAATACAATCATAATCATTTGATTTGTTACTTATTAACAAAATAATAAAAACGAAAAAAAAAATTAAAAAAAAAGTCATAATATTTCGACTCACATGCTTTCTTCCAATAAGTTATGTTATTAATTTACCTTACATCGACCTTCTAATATTAGTTCGCTACACGTGCCTTTTGTTTCATTAACAACGCTACACATACATATCTTTCATATGTTTAAAGATCCACTGCTCAGTTTAGGCATCAGTTCAAAATCATCGCTTGCGCCGATCGGCAACATGTTCCTTGAAACATTACTATTATTAATAACGATAATAGTAGGCTATTATTGGTACATTTATAAGAAAGCTCATTATTATTTTGAATCGAAAGGGGTCAAATACTTACGTGGCGTACCTTTCTTTGGGAATCTCATGAATAATTTGTTGAGGAGAACGCATTTGTGGGAGGACTATGATGTAGTCTATAAAGCTTTTCCCAATGAGAGGTAAGAGTTTTCTATTGTACAATTTAAGCCTTTTAAGCCCGTAACTAAAATCGAAACATAACGCGATGAACATTGCCTGCTTTAGCACATTAGGTGGAAGTCTCAGGGAATTAAAACAAGAGTAAAAGCTGCAATCAGAAATAATCGTTGCGTCTTTATAAAAATATAATATATTCTTAGCAACTTCACGATACCTATGGTCTTCAGTAATTATTTAATATAATGTGAATTAGAAGTTAGTCATAGCTTCAACCCAAACAAAAGAAAAAAGCTGGATAATTTTTATTATGATTCAGAGTAATTTAGTTTACTAAAAATCAAACATTACGTATAGGCATGTTATAAAAAAAAATTGAAACTGGTTAAGTCGGCAAATAAGGCCAGGCTGAAATGGATTATAGTAATTTGCAATTTAAATTATACCTTATTGAAGAAACCAAGGCCATTTTGCTGTAACTATTTAGTTTTAGGGCAATGAGTTACATGGCGTCGACTTGAACAATAATAATAACTAGAGGTCCCGCAGTAGTCGAAATTCGACTATAATTAATTGGAATTGTAAGTTTGTACACTATTATGATTGTATTTTATACTTCTATAATCACAAATTTCGCGAAGACTATACACTATAAAAAATATTAACAAAGACAAACAATATTTAATCTCAATTTGACAACAAACGTCAAGAACAAAAGTTTGTTATTAAATAGTATGCATGCGTGTGTGCGTCAAATACATGGTATGTAGTGTGTGTAATGTTTTCTTTATTGATTTAATGTATCTTTTATGTATTGTTTTAAAAAAATATTAGCATTGTGCACTTCTTCTCTATATTCTCTATAAGTGTGGAAAATTTCATACTCCTCCGTCCGCGCAATTTTCGTAAAAAGGGGTACAAAGTTTTTGCTTCACGTATTAATATATAGATAGCTCTTTATTCTGAACTACATGCATGATGCAATTTAACATTTTCGGATGTATACATTTTATTTCTTACAATATACCTCCTACACGATGGACCGACGACCTGGTAAGACGTTGGATGCGGACTGGCCGCACTGGAGATCACTTGGAGAGGCCTAAGTTCAGCAGTGGACAGGCTGAGATGATGATGATGAATATACCTCGCCATTCGCCGTGCCTCGTGGCATAGGTCTCCTCCAGTTCTCTCTATTGAGCTTGGTCCTCGGCAACTCTGGCCCACTATGGTCCTAGGGACCCTAGGATCCTAGGACGAGGGATTTCGTCACTCCATCTTGTTTTCGATCGCCCATGTCTTTTGATTTCCCCTCTGGATACTATAAGGTTACTTGTTTATTCCACTTATTTTTGGAACGAAGCTCCTTATGGGACGATGCGGAGGGGTACCCTAACCGGGAAAAAACGTCCGTAACGTAAGATTTTATGTGTTTTACCTCATAACTTTTGACTAGGTGAATCGATTATGATGATTCTTTTTTATTAGAAAGCTGAAGCTTTCTGTGTGATCTCATTTCAATTTAGTCCAGTTCTGATAATGGGAGAATAATCCATGAGAAAACCATATAAGCCTTAAATTTGCATTAAGTACGTGCGCGACAAATAAATAAATAACTCAATAAATCAATATCACGCCAACCGATTTCGATGATTATAGTTTTTATTGTATATTAATTTGTTTTGGAATATCGTTTTTTTTTCTCAATATAAAAATCATAATAAAAATGTATACCCGAATAATTATTTTCTTTATTCCTCGAATAGAACTTACAATTAATATTTTTATAATAAGGAACTTCGTTCCTCTCCGGTGTCCCACGACACCACACATCTTTTTTTTTGCAACGTAGCATATTATGTCCTGTCCAACTCCATTTTAGATTTTTGTTTACATATAAAATAGCAAGATATGAAATCAAATCGTCAGGGACTCGTGATAGGAGATGTTTCAAGCTAGCAAAATGCACTATCATCTTGTCTATTTTTGCCGTGGAGCAGGCAAGTTTTTGGTTTGAACGGTACGAAGTTCTAATACAAAGTACCATCATTGACTGAACCAACGTGAACGTCCTTGTTATTAAGCCAATTGGGTTCCCTTATCGCAGGCAGCCTGTATCATTAACTTGACCCTGTACAAGCATTTAGGTAACATTTGCTACTTCGTTTATTTTAAGTATAAAATATTGCTTATTTAAAACAAAATAATCTTTCGTGGTTAAATTATAGTTTTTATGTTGAGTTCGAATATTTACGTCATCGATGTTTCTAGAAATTTCTGGAATAGTTAAGAAGATAAATATAAATACTACCACAACGTTTGATAGATGAGGTAAAACGTCAAAACTACGAGAGGATGAAAAATAAAATCAATTAAATAATTTATTCAATAAAGAATCATTTAATGTACTAATTTTAAAAGATAATCAATGTAAGAACGTAATAACTGTAAGCCAAAGACTCTTCACAAGTAGATCCAAGTTTAAAATTCGTCATAAAATTTGTCATAGCCGACTTAGCTAAGTTTTCTTTTTGCAACATTTAGGGCGGATTCGACCAAACTTAAATTTAAACTCGAGTAACTATACGAGGAATAACCTATTCCATGATTTTAATCTCGAGTAAATTCATAGTCGTTTTTCCACGTATACTTGCGCTAGGAATAACAATACGCGAATAGCAGAGTGAATGGTGAACAAAAATAAAATCCGGCAAATAAATGTTGTTGTTCAACGGCATAGTGTAAGAGCATACAAATCGTCAACTCGATTTTGCCGTATTTTAGTGTGAAAAAGTAGCTGTTGTGTAAGATATCCAGCTGTCAAACGTATTATTTTTATTTCTTGTTTGTTTGAGGGAATTGTCAAGTTTTGTCGTGTGGTTTTATCTTTTTTCGTTTAAACGTTGCATTCAGACTATTAATAATCATTTAGTGCATTGCGTTGACATGAAATTAAAACAGAATAAATATTTATGAAATGACAGAAATCAGATGTTGGACTGACAGACGCCATTACTTTATTCTAGGAATAGCTCCGTTATTCCGTGCGAAACGGCGGTATAGTAACAATTCCCGAATAGGCCCACTATTCTTAGAATTGTAGTTGGTAAAACGTAAAATTGATTTACTCTCGATTAACTAACGAGTTATTCTAAGAATAAGATTTACTCTTGTTTGGTCGAATCGACCCTTAATATAATCAATTATTTTTCTGTCAATAGATACGTTGGCTTTACCGACGGCGTCTGTCCGGGCATCTTTATTCGCGATCCTGAGATTATAAAACATGTTACAGTTAAGGAATTTGATCATTTCGTCAACAACAAGGATTTGTTCCCAGAAGGAGAGGAGTCAATTTTAAAAAACAGCTTGGTAATGCTGAAAGGTACGGCAGTCATCATTGTTAGAAAACTATTAGGATTTGTTGAGTTTGAGCTATTTTTGTTAGTTATTTTTGTTAGTAAGGCTAACTTGTTCAAGCATGATCAATATTGCTATTGTATAGTGGCCATACTAAAAGCCTAAGCCACCATCAAGCGCTTTCTCTCAGATCTCCATTTTTTTTCCTACCTATGCTGATAGCCTTGAGAGGCTATTTCAGCTTCACCCTAACGTGTAGGTGAGATCACGGGGCTCAAGCTGGAAGTGTTCATGCTTCGCAGAATCTACCACCGGATCGGAATAGCGATCCACTGAGAAGATCCGGCGAGAAACTCAGTGGGCTGTGTCTATGGGTTCATTTATGGCATTTAAGGCTCGTCGAGCCCTTCGTCGCAAATGACGGCGAGGACGGTGACGGTGCTAGAGGTAGCTAAAAGCACTGTTAATGTATTTATCGCGGAGAAGTTCTACGAAAGATTCATTCGCGTCTCTTTTCACCCGGGGGGAGGGGCGTCCCCGGGACCTTCACTCACTCGCCGAAAGGCGAGTCCGTTGGATGGGGTTTGAACTTTTGAACCCTCCAGCCCTGTAAAGGCAGCAGTGATAGCGGTGGGAGGAATGTTTATGCTGTGAAAACAGCAATCAGCAGGAATTTAGGAAAGGACCTGCTCGGGCTGTATTCGCTACAGCGGGCGGATGCCGAGCGGGGATGTAGTCTTAAAAAAGACTGGCCGAGGCCGGGAAAGGTTAGGAAATCGCTAGGCTATGATATGCCACAGCAAGTGTGATCGTAGCGATTGTGTCTTGAAAAAGACAGTTGACGTTTTCTCGATCAAAGCTCGCACAAAGCAATCGGGCGCAAACTGTATGTATGGTCACGAGTCGCTGATCGCGAGTGAACGATTTTATTTCACTAATCTGCAACTTGTTTCAGATGAAAAATGGCGGAAAATGAAAGCAGCTCTTAGTCCAGCGTTTACAGCATCTAAAATGAGAGAAATGGTCCCATTAATGATTGAAATTAGTCACAATATCGTTGAATACTTGAAAGGTAAAACGCAATGGTAGAAAAAAGTATATTACCCTGTTCACAAGCTGACGAAATTCATTCCTTCCACCTTCAGTGACTTTGGAGTCTTATTTATAAGACCATTACTCCACGCAACTCATAAAATTACAGTACGTTTGGTAATTCGGTTCCCCAAACAAATAAACAAAATTGAACCAATCAAAAGAACGATACACGTTCATACCAATTTGCATTTTCTTCTGTGTTCAGTGTAATACGACCTGTCTTAGCAAGCAATAACGCACACTGCACGTTTATTTAAAGTTACAATTGAACATCAACAACAGTCGTACAATGACCGGGTTCCGCGGAAGTCGGGTTCAGTCCTCGCGACTGTGACATTTAACATTAGCAATTATTAATTGCAACATTAACATATAACAATAACGTTTATAGCATAGAACATTTTGTACGTAATTATGTGTATTAAAGTGAGTTAGTAAAATCCAGACTTATCATTAATAAACAACTACTGCACCCTCACTCTGTGCTCGCACATTCTGTGTTAAAGTTACTGGAAACACAAATGAGATCAGAAGAAGTATATCCAGAGAGATCTTTAAGAACTAGCTATGTCACAGACACATTCATCTAATGTAGCAAATCTTATTGCTAAAAATTAAAGTAATGCTTATGCGCTATTCCAGAACACCTAACTGAAGACATAGATTTAGATGACTTGATGTCCAGGTATTCTAATGACGTCATTGCATCAGCAGCTTTCGGCCTCCAAATAAACTCGTTGAAAGAAAGAGACAACATCTTCTTCAAGGCAGGAAAAGATGTGTTTAATTTTAGCCTCTTTCAGTCAATTCGTATGATTTTTTCAGATCACTTTCCATCTTTATCGAAGGTAAGATAAAGTTTAATTCAAATGTATCAAATATCATTGAGCTAATATTGGTCAGAAAATCATAGTGGCAAAACCCATTCACAAATATTCATTACAGACTAGTATGAACACGTCTACAAGGAATTTCTTATATTTTGATACATTTGATATATATATTTTGATATATTTTGTATGTCGTCGTGGCCTAATGGATAAGACGTCCGGTCCAGTCGTATCAAGCGATGGACCGGTGTTCAAATCCCGCAGGCAGGATAAATTATTCTAATGAAATACGTATTTATCAAATGTTTACGATTGACTTCCACGGTGAAGGAATAAGATCGAGTAATAAAAATCAATCTCGCAAAATTATAATTTGTGTAATTACTAGTAGTTATTGCTGGAGTCCGCACGGGTAGGTACCGCTACCCTACCTATTACTGCCGTGAAGCAGTATGCGTTTCGGTCTGAAGGTTGGGGCAGACGTTGTACTGTTAAGGTTGAGATCTTAGAACTCATGTCTCAAGGTGAGTGGCGGTATTTATGTTTTAGAAATTTATAGGCTCCAATAACCACTTAACACAAGGAGGGCCGTGAGTCCGTTCAACCATCTAAGAAATAAAAATAAAAAAACATTCAAACAAATAAGAAATTGTTCTAAAAATTTTTTTTATTAAAACTTTCCAAAGGGTTGCATGCGGTGAGTCGCTGAACTTTCCTAAAGTTTTGTTCAATTTTTTTTGCAGAAACTAGGATTCACAGTCATACCAAAATCAACATCAGAATTCTTTCGGACTCTAATAGCTAGTACCGTGGACTATAGAATAAAAAATAAAGTTGAAAGACGTGACATGATACAGTTGTTAATACAATTATCGACAGGTATGACGAAGTAGACTTTCTTCTGTTTGGTTCAGCCCTTTAAACTTACAAAAACGATGCGACAGTAGCGTTCTAAAATTAGACCTGCCGTCTTGAATGGATCAGCTTGTTGGACAACTAAAGTGGCGGATGAAAGGCGATTGCATGCAGCAGAGATTTATCAGAAATCTCCAAAAGCTTGAAGGAGGCTACACGTGATGCTAAGGCTGGCTGGTACTTTACACAGAGAGTGAGTCTGGCTGTCCAACGAGGTAACGTAGCCAGTATCTTGGAAACTGTGCCTTCTTCAAGCGCATTGGAAGATTTGTTTTACTGTGTGAATTGATTTATGTTAAATTATTCTGACAAAATAAAAAATTGTTACTGGTCTGGGTTGTTGATTAATAAATCGCATTGTGGATCCGATCAACGACTACAGATAATTCTAATCTAATTCTGCTCTAATTAATGGAGTATAACGATAACAAACCTAATTCTGGGAGTTATTGTCATGTGTTTTTTTTCTCACAGAATGGACAGAGACTGAACTAGCCGCCCAACTTTTCGTATTCTTCGTTGCTGGATTTGAGACCACAGGCAACACTTTGATCAACTGTATTCACGAATTAGCCCTAAATCCACACATTCAGGATATCCTATATGAGGAGTTGAAGGCTTTTAAGGAGACTAAAGGAAATCTGGTTTATGAAAATATTGGGGAATTAAAATACTTAGATTGCGTTTTAAATGGTATGATACTAGAAATCCTTATTTTAGAATTCCTGGTAGTACTTGTTATCTTAAAAAAACAAAGGCCTTTTGACACAAAAATAAATCTAAATTTTTAAGCTATTGCATAGCTGTTTTGCTTTTGGGCTTTGAGCGCGTCGATTGAATCAAAAATTCCGTAACGAAAGTAACCTGACACCACCACTACGCCTACTATGTAGCTCGCGTTCAACACATTCACACGCCCGGTTCCGACGGTATATCCAACCGCGTTATTAAACTTCTACCCGTCCAACTCATCGTGATGTTGGCATCTATTTTCAATGCCGCTATGGCGAACTGTATCTTTCCTGCGGTGTGGAAAGAAGCGGACGTTATCGGCATACATAAACCCGGTAAACCAAAAAATCATCCGACGAGCTACCGCCCGATTAGCCTCCTCATGTCTCTAGGCAAACTGTATGAGCGTCTGCTCTACAAACGCCTCAGAGACTTCGTCTCATCCAAGGGCATTCTCATCGATGAACAATTCGGATTCCGTACAAATCACTCATGCGTTCAACAGGTGCACCGCCTCACGGAGCACATTCTTGTGGGGCTTAATCGACCAAAACCGTTATACACGGGAGCTCTCTTCTTCGACGTCGCAAAAGCGTTCGACAAAGTCTGGCACAATGGTTTGATTTTCAAACTATTCAACATGGGCGTGCCGGATAGTCTCGTGCTCATCATACGGGACTTCTTGTCGAACCGCTCTTTTCGATATCGAGTCGAGGGAACCCGCTCCTCCCCACGACCTCTCACAGCTGGAGTCCCGCAAGGCTCTGTCCTCTCACCCCTCCTATTTAGCTTATTCGTCAACGATATTCCCCGGTCGCCGCCGACCCATTTAGCTTTATTCGCCGACGACACGACTGTTTACTATTCTAGTAGAAATAAGTCCCTAATCGCGAAGAAGCTTCAGAGCGCAGCCCTAGCCCTAGGACAGTGGTTCCGAAAATGGCGCATAGACATCAACCCAGCGAAAAGTACTGCGGTGCTATTTCAGAGGGGAAGCTCCACACGGATTTCCTCCCGGATTAGGAGGAGGAATCTCACACCCCCGATTACTCTCTTTAGACAACCCATACCCTGGGCCAGGAAGGTCAAGTACCTGGGCGTTACCCTGGATGCATCGATGACATTCCGCCCGCATATAAAATCAGTCCGTGACCGTGCCGCGTTTATTCTCGGTAGACTCTACCCCATGATCTGTAAGCGGAGTAAAATGTCCCTTTGGAACAAGGTGACACTTTACAAAACTTGCATAAGGCCCGTCATGACTTACGCGAGTGTGGTGTTCGCTCACGCGGCCCGCACACACATAGACACCCTTCAATCTCTACAATCCCGCTTTTGCAGGTTAGCCGTCGGAGCTCCGTGGTTCGTAAGGAACGTTGACCTACACGACGACCTGGGCCTCGAATCTATACAGAAATACATGAAGTCAGCGTCGGAACGGTACTTCGATAAGGCTATGCGTCATGATAATCGCCTTATCGTAGCCGCCGCTGACTACTCCCCGAATCCTGATCATGCAGGAGCCAGTCACCGTCGACGTCCTAGACACGTCCTTACGGATCCATCAGATCCAATAACCTTTGCACTAGACGCCTTCAGCTCTAGGAGCAGGCTTAGGGACCTCGGTAACCGTACTCGTCGAACTCGACAAAGAGTTCGCCGTGCAACCTAACCCATGAATCAGCGCTCGGGTAGCTGTTAGCAAATCCCACCCCTCCTGGCTGAGCCTTTGCTCGCCCACCTGTCCTGGTGAAACTGGAAAGGCCTCCGGGCCACCAGTAATCCTTCAATCACAAAAAAAAAAAAGAAACATTCACACGCTGCGCTGCTGTAGTGTTTGTGAATAAGCGCGCGGCGTGACGTCGCACTGCATGAGCATCATGAAAAGTCTCTCTTCCATCTCTCTCTCACGCGGTCTAGCTTATGAGTGTGAAGGGGACAGTTAATGTTTTGCTTTTGTTAATGTTTTTAAATATAGCGTGGTCTTATTTTTATTATTATTTTAATTTTAAATTATTATTGTCTAATTGTAATTGCATAAGTTGATAAAAATTGCTTTGCAATCGCGGCAGTCCCCGAGTGCCACACGTGTTTTTTTTGTGTGAGCTTCACCAAAGTTCAATACTGGAAATACATTGTATGCACTTCTTGTGAATTCGATCGTGGCGATAAGGAAAATGGGACCGCGCCTACCAGCAAAACAGACAAAGTAATATAGGTGAGCTTAGTTTAGGGATTAAGTTTTTGTTTTGATTTTAGAAACGATGAGAAAATGGTCTGCTGCAATCTTTGTTGACAGGATCTGTACGAAGCCATATGTCCTTCCACCGCCCAGGGAAGGGGGCAAGCCGTGCCAGGTATCCTTCTAAACTTAATACGACCTTAGAATTATTAATTTTTAATTGCATGGTTGGGTGGATGAGCTCACAGACTACCTGGTGTTAAGTGTTAAGTAAGTTAAGTTAAGTAAGATAAGTTACCGGAGCCCATAGACATCTAAAACGAAAATGCTGCCATCTACCTCTTCAGATATGAGTTCTAAGGTCTCAGTATACCTAGTCATCTTTTAAAATACGCGACATGGTTCTAGGTGCTATCTTCATCTCCCGAGATAAAATATTTTGCTTTCGGACAGGATTTCTTCGATTTCTTTCCCTTACTGCTTTGACCACCTTTTTCGTACGAACACTACGTGGATGGCCAGATCTTTTTCTGTCACAAACAGAAGAGGTCTCATTGCACCTATTTAATAGCCCGGTACACAAACATTTTACTAATACCAAGCGTATGGAGAGTTTTAAAAATTGCATTTGGCTCCATGCCTACTTTGTGTAATGCAATCACAGCGATTCGGTTCTCTTTATCACCCCACCCCATTTTAATATCGCAAAATATTGTACAATGTATTGGCGCCAAAATGAGAAAACTCAATGAGCAATCATATAAAAATGACAGATTCCAAATTCAAATGTAATATTTTGTTTAATTTTAATTGTAACAGTATTTATGGCCAGACTTAGTAGTTACAACGGCTGCCACACCCTTCAGGCGTAAACGCATTACTGCTTCACGGCAGAAATAGGCAGAGTGGTGGTACGTACCCGTGCGAACTCACAACAGGTCCTACCACCAGTAGGTCCTACCATCTCTTTGTACGTTAGTCGATTTTCGAAAAACCGATTAATAATATACTTTTAATCTGGAAGCTGTTCATACTAACAATATTTCATTCGTATATCGAAGGGGATAACAGTCATTGTCGCTAAATAGCTAATTTTTTCCAGCTTAAACCTGGTGAAGTAATATACAATGCAGTAAACTCAATTCATATGGATCCGAAATACTATGAAGAACCTGAGAAATTTATCCCGGAAAGGTTCTTAGACGAGAACAAGCATAAAATCAAACCATTTACTTTTATGCCTTTCGGAGTTGGACCAAGATATTGTATTGGTGAGTAATGAAATTAAATACTTATTAGCGGAAAAAAAATATCAAAGAAGTGCCTGTGATTCTTTAACAGCTTAGTTTACAATTAAGTTTTGTGTGTGTGTGTGTGTTTTAATACGCTTTTATTAGCTTCATACGTATGTTAGTATGTAACGCAATCTTTGAACACGATTTTGACCCCCTTCAAAACGTCGGATTAACTCGAAATTTGACATACTTATTAAGGACCGATGACAATTCAATATTTGAAACAGTTTGATCCTTTATCTTAACTAGGATAATCAGGATTAGCGATTTTTTGTTTTCCTTTTTTTCCACGGTTTTTTTTACAATAAAATCATTTTTTCTTATACTATTTTTCATTCAAATTTATTAAAATTTATTTTCTATTTTTTAGTTGGATTTTCTAGAAAAGCGTATTTTTTAGATTTTTAAACTATTTTTTATTATTTATACTGACTTACTCATTATAAGAAATATTTAAAGGTTATACTTTACTAGGTTCAATTTAAAAAAACTGTTAACACGATTTCCAGGATCAAGGTTCGCTTTAATGGAGATGAAGATATTACTCTTCCGCTTGATGCTAAATTTCAAGGTCTTGAAATGCGCGAAGACTCTGGATCCGATAAAAATGTCGCCAGTAGGATTCAACATGAATATATGGGGTGGTAGCTGGGTGAAATTTCAGGCCAGAAAGGCGTAAACGAATTTTAATATTGGCCTATGTTATTGACTATGCTATTGGGTTCTATTATTTATTTATTTTCGAACTTTTAATAAGCTATGATTTTATAAAAACGATATGATTTACATAAGATAATCTAACTTGATTAAGAATTGCTCAGGTCCAGTCACAGCCAATATCCTAAGGCCTGGAGGGGCGTACGGAATCGTAAGCCTGCATTACGCCTGTACCTCATTACCATTTTCGATCCAGCATATAAATCTATGCACAAAGTCGACCGAAACTACGTCATCGACACTTCAAAACAATTTCAAAGTTCTAGATAGAAACAGCCGCAACGCTCAATAAATGACATATCTATGGATATAGAACCAGGGTAGCTAAAATCGATCTTATTACATATATTTTGTAGGAGCCTTTAGAAATTAGAAACTTAGACATATTCTGTTTATCGGGATTCATACATAATTATTATCAATAACGAATTATTGTGTTTGCTTGTCAATATTCAAATAATAATTGCGAGAATCCGTTAATTATGACTATGTGAGAATAATAATATTATTTTTTCAATTAGACACATTTATATTGAAAAATATTATACTTGTTTTTACAAGTGTTACTATATTGTGTTGTTATTGTGTTATTCAACGTAAAAAAGTATTAAATATAAATATTAAATAAAATTATTCAGATTGAATATTTCATTTTAAATATCAATGAAAAGAAACTGTAGGTTGCAGAATGCGTGTGAAGTATATAAAAATAGCCAAAGGAAATTTATATATCGTATCAAAAACCATTTTTTTTTATTGCTTAGGTGGGTGCACGAGCTTACAGCCCACCTGATGTTAAGTGGTTACTGGAACCCATAGCCACAACGTAAGTGCCGCCACCCACCTTGAGATAGTTCAAAGGTCTCAGTATAGTTACAACGGCTGCCCCGCCCTTCAAACCGAAACGCATTACTGATTCACGACAGAAATAGGCAGGGTGGTGGTACCTAGCCGTGCGGACTCACAAAAGGTCCTACCACCAGTATTTTTCCACACGATGAGGATTAATTTCTCAGTCATTATGTAAATAACGGCCGTCTGGTGTAGTGGTAGGTGACATGGTCACTACACAAGGGGGTCGCGGGTTCCAATCCCGCCAAGGGAAGATATTTGTATGATAAATATAAATGTCTTTTCCAGGGTTATGGATGTATCTTAAATATATGTATGTGTATAATAAAAATCTTACATTTATTTCCGTTATCTGGTACCTGTAACACAAGTTCTTTACGAACTTATCACGGGACCAGTTAACGTGGCGTGATTGTTAGTAAATATTTATTATTATTATTTATTTATATTTATTTAAAATCTTATGAATTACATAATATTTTTTAAAAAAAATATTAAAAATACAATTTTTAAAAAACACTATATAAAAATAGATTACCGCTGATGGCGGTGTCTACGACACAAGCCACCAGTGGTTAGGACTCCAGAGTGAGAAACCTCCTCACAATACGTGCAGTATCAAGGATAACTGCTTTCTGTATTAGGCCCTTAACCCAGCTGGATAACGAAAGTTTCTTGAGATGTTGATCGAAACTTTTCGCTATCAAGCCGTGTACCGATACAACTATTGGAACAATGATGGTTGAATCAACATGCCACATGGCGGTAGTCTCGTGGGCCAGGTCTAAATATTTTATTAATTTGTCCTTTTCTGCCTTCACGAGGTTCNCATGCCACATGGCGGTAGTCTCGTGGGCCAGGTCTAAATATTTTATTAATTTGTCCTTTTCTGCCTTCACGAGGTTCTCGTCATGAGGAATGGTGACATCAACCAACACTGCTCGACGCGCAGATCGATCTATTATCACAATATCAGGTTTATTGGCAACAATATACCTATCCGTGATAATAGATCGGTCCCAGTAGAGCGCAACATGACCATTATCAAGAACTGGTTGAGGTTGGTATTGGTAATAAGGTACAGCAGAATCAAGAAAACCATATTTCAGAGCAAGTTGTTGATGGATAATCCTAGCCACTTGGTTATGTCTATGTAAGTACTCGCCGTTAGCAAACCGAGAACAGCCAGAAACAATATGTCTAATAGACTCTCCCGGACGGTGGCATGCCCGACAAATGTCGACCGTCCCATCCTTTAGTATATATTTCCGGTAGTTGTTCGTCATGATAACTTCGTCCATAATTGCAAAGATAAAACCTTCAGTTTCCCCAAAGAGGTTAATGAATCGTAACCAGGCCACGGAAGCTAATTGGTCTACATCAGGCCCTGTGAGAGCCCGGTAGAACCTACCGTGTAACTCCTTGCTCCTCCATACGGTTATTAAATGACTAATTTTATTTGCTTTTGATATTTATTATTACTATAGTAGTATGTTACCGTAGAATCACTTAATTTACTAAAAGTATGTATAAGGAACATCTTACAAATTAAGCCAAAGTTGTTTCAAGTCTACTAAGATTACAGATACGCCGAATCGAATACTTTAATTAGTTGTAACAACAAAAACAACTGCGAATCCAATGGGACGGCTTCGTTTAAATTAACTTTCAGCGTAATCCATCCTTTGGTTCGAACTTGGCATAATTAACTGCGCCGGTTTGAAATATCGGACCGAAAGATTTTCTTCAGAGACATTACGAGTACTATCGCTTAGATTGGATAAAGATGGCGATACTTATCAACGTTCAAAGTTGATTGCCGTCTTGATTTATTATGTTTGTATATTTTGTTTTGAAACTGGAAAATTATTGAGAGTATAAAGCTGTAGATTATTTTCTAGACGATAATTGGAGTACATAGATATCCCTACGTGCCTGCCCCTAATCGGTCGCTGCTATGATGTCACTCCAGAGTGGCCATGAGATCTTCTACCTTGCGTAAAATAACATGCTTTTTTTCTTCTTCTTCTTCTTCTGAGTCGGTCTCTTCATTGCTGAAGTTCGTGTCTAATTTGAAATGTTGACCACTCGATGCACAATGCTTCCCCACGTCTTTCTGTCCACGGCGGTCTTTATAGCCTCGGTTATTGGCAGGCCGGTGAGCGACTTTACCAGATCAGACCAGTGAGTAGGTGAGCATCCGCGTGATCTTCTCCCGTCAACCTGACCAGCTACCATCGTCCATCAGCTTCTCTAAGTTATCGAGGCCTCTACGAACGATGTGGCCGAAGTATGTGAGAATACGTTGGAAGCAGATAGCGGACACCCTTGTGGCAATACCGAGCTCCTTCAGAATTTATTGGTTAGTCCGGCGTACTGGCCATGGAATTCAGTAATCAATTTAAAATGAAGGACAGTAATAATAGGTGCCTGGTCTATCTGATATTCTTAAACCAAGACTAGACCTGTAATGAGAGACTGATGTTACATATTATGTAGAGATGCAATAATTTTAAAAGCTACCTGAGCAAAAAGCTAGTACTATGAACCTATGTATTCCATTCTTGAGGTGTAAGTTCGATGACAGCTATATTAAAATTATTTCTACTCTACCACTGAAACAGAAATGAGTGATATATTGAAAGGCAGAATTAAAACCTTTGAACCAACTTCAGAAGCATGCGACATTTGAAATTAAAATAAAAAAAACAAAGGAGCATTATTAATAATGAACCTATAAATATTAAACAGCATTAAACATGAGGCACAAAAAAAAGTGAAAAGAAAAATCTCTGTCACATCTCTAAGTCGCAGCGTTACCAAGTTTTCTCATTTCCTACAAAAAGATTAACACGCTGGGCTCTTTCAACGTGATCGGTACGTAAATTCTCGATTCAGATTAACTATTCAATTTTTTCAACGAACTTCCTTATCAAACGATGCAGAGAGGTACCCTAACCGGGACAAAACGTCCGTAACGTAAGATTTTTATTAGTAATGCACACAGTGTACGACTTAGCTTTGTAATAACGTCCAAAAAATAACATACTTTTTTATAATTTTAGATCAATTCTAATCTGTGGTAAGAAATGAATTTCAGCTTAGTGCCTTTGCGAGAGAAATGTAATTATGTTGGATTTTAAGGCTTTTGGTGTATCCATACTTAAATCAGCTGATACTTTATACCACGAAATAGATTAGTTAAATAAAAACGATATTTTGCAAATGCAATTGCTTAATATTCTTTTTTCCGATACCTCGTCCGCATAACCTAAGATCAGTATGTTTTCTATTTACAAGTAATCTAATATGCTTTGAAATAAATTGATAGTCACGTGGAAGAATACCATTCAGGAAACCAAGCAAAATAGAAATGGTAATACAAATTGTATCAAATTTTCTTTAAAAATTCGTTATCTCATATGTTCTCCTCCATCCTCCTCCATTCTCATCCCTATATTTATTCCGTTCCAAAGATGCATTTACGATTGTGCTGTAATTCGCATATTATCGTTGGTCCTAAAAGACCTTGAAGGCAGAACGACATAAATTATCCGCACCGATGTCGCGCCGAAAACGGGGCTATCAACGCAGCTCGAACAGAGTCCTACTCTCAGATAAGGAACAATGCATTTACATTGTACGATATTAGCGGTAATCTACTTGACGATTTTTTATTCGAACGATAAATGTAAGCTTGATCTTTTCTTTCCAAAGGATTAGCATTGTATGAGAAAAAGCGGTAAATGTATGAGCTATATCAATTCTGCTTGCTACAGTTGTGAGAACTACTTATGGCCACCGTTTCTTTCTGATGTGAATGGTCAATTTTCCAATGAAACACACTGTATGTATACGGCTTAGAACAATCCAAAGTCAAGTTATTCATACATATTTCTAACTATTTTATCCTCTGTCAACATCAAAATATATTTCATAGGTATATTTTAAAGTCGTCGTGGCTAAAGGATAAGATGTCCGGTGTATTCGAGTTGAGCGATGCACCAGTGTTCGAATCCCAAGGGCAGTCCTATTTTTCTAATGAAATACGTACTCAACAAATGTTCACGATTGACTTCCACGGTGAAGGAATAGCATTATGTAATAAAAATCAGACCCGCAAAATTATAATTTGCGTAATTACTAGTGGTAGGACCTCTTGTGAGTCCGCACGGGTAGGTACGACCACCCTGCCTGTTTCTGCCGTGAAGCAGTAATGCGTTTCGGTTTGAAGGGTGGGGCAGCCGTTGTAACTATACTTGAGATATTACAACTTATATCTCAAGGTGGGTGGCGCATTTACGTCGTAGATGTCTATGGTCTCCAGCAACCACTTGA